GGTTGACAGGTTCTGTATTTACTGTAGATGTTACTAACTGATGTATGAAATGAACTGACTTTAAGGCAAGGCCCTTTTGTTTGTTAAATGCTCAGACTGGTGAAAAAATTTATGAGAAAGTAGCAGTTTCTCTCAAGCCAACTGGTGATAAATTAACTCACTCACATGCATACCCTGAAAGAAGTCACACCATCAGCTGAACACCTCCATAGCTTTTCAAGTGTCTTGCCCAAGGATACGACGACACTGAAAGCCGGGCTCGATCTGACAACCCTCCGGTTAAAGGGTGAACTCCTTCATCCGACGCCACTGTCACCCCTGGAACCTATTGACCTGCAGTCTGATGTGATGCTGGCAGAGAGCTTTAAGTCAGTGTCACTGCTGGATTATTACTCTTCTCAAAGCTGAGAACTTTCCAGTCATGAGAAGAAATAAATATAGTAGGCTCAATCTGTAGACCTAAAAAATCATTCTCAGTGATAAAGATGATCAATTTCTGATATAGATCCTCTCTCACTGATGACGATCAGTGAGAGAGGATCATCTGTCAGCTGAGCTACAAATCTTCACTTTATTCATCCAACCTGACTTTGATGCACTTGGTAAAGCTCAAGAGAGACTAGATTTCTTCCACTAAAAACATCAAATGATGCAGTTTAACTACATACTATGCAGAAATATTAAGGCAATAACTAGCATTTTATTATCACATTTGTTTTGGAGGTATTTTCCACATTATCACAGTTCAGTTATAATTATTGTTATCTGATGCATTTTGTTTAATATTTGCTGAACAAAAAAAAAAGTCTTTGAAACTGCATGTTAAACTCAGAATAGGTTTTAGAGTGAATGTGACTTAATGATGTTTACTAATGATGCACACATGTTAAGAACTTTAACTTTTTGTTTACCATTGATTCATGAAATTTGGCTCTAAAAAGGTATAGAATGAAGTAAAGACAGTTGTGTAAGAAATAAGTTATCCTGTTTGGAGAGAAGTGGAAAAACACTGGCTCTTTTATATATTGAGTGAAATACATAAAAACTATTCTGTTATGTGGCTTATTTTCAGTGTGGACATGCAGGGGTGCAAAGGAAATAACTTTGATTTAACTTCTTTAACATAGTTCCAAGGATATGTAAAGTTTCATCATTGCAGTAACAATAATAATAAAGGAAATATAAAAGCATGAAGAAGAAAACATTCTTTAAATGATGTTATTTACCTACCTCTCATACTGGGTTTCATTTAATGTAGTTTCCTTCTAGAAAGTAGTTCAGCAGCCAGTGTGTAACTTCCTCCTAACAGACATGTTAATTTGTGGTGTACTTGTTGCAGCGTTTTTTTAATGAACAGTATGTGAATTCACACATCGACTAAACACTGCTGCTCATAAGAAAAACCCTATCGACAATAATCTGTTTTCCATTTTATGATATTGAGTGAATTGGAATTACTTCAGTTACTGTATGCAAGATAGGTATTGAATTTAATACAGTAAGTGTTTGCTGATTTATTTATTTAATTTGTTCACATGCATCAAATAAAAATAATTTCATTAGTGCTTGTTCATTGTCAGAGATTTTTGCTGAGGGCCTAAACAAGGCTGGAGCTAAACCACATAGAAATGCCATGTTTATAATTTAAAATGTTTGTGTTATAGGGAGAAGTTATTTTACAAGTTAAGAGCTACATTCAGCATCTCTAAAGCTGTTCAATATTTTGAGGATGTACCCAGAAATAAAATCCACTCCAGATATGTTCCACAGAACAACATCCAGCATAACAAAGCAAGAAGAAAAAACAGAATGAATTAGAAAATAAAACCCAGAAAAACAAAACCAAGCAGACTTTACTGTTTGTAGCTTAAAATGTTTCCTCCTTCATCTGAAGCGGTTTCTCTGCTCAGAGCTAGTGACGCTAAAGTTCCCAGAAACTGTTTGCAAAAAGCAGTTTTACACGTCTAAATTCGTTCCTCCACCACATCAGGGTGTTAGTGCTGCTGTTGGTCTAGATAACTGAGAGATTTATGGTCACATGCAAGAAGGTGTGAACTGGCATGAAACTGATTAGGCATCAGGATTATTACTGAACTTATGTTTCTGAAAATCTTCTCTGTCCACAATATGGACACTTTGGTCCTAAAAGATTGTCCCTCATCCTTGAGGGTTAAGGTGCATACCTCAGTCTTGCCCTAAGAAGCTGGATCTATATTTAGCTGTGACTATTATAATTTTACTTATCTATGCAGTTTAAAATCCAAACAATTACCAAAAGAACATACTAAAATGGGTAATTAACTTCTGCTCCCCCCTCATCATTTAACAAAATTGACAATTCCGTTTTACAACATAGAGGACCCAGATATTTAGTGTTCAGTATGAGTGAACAGCTCATTCTTTTACTGTGCAGACCAGTAGATGGACTGCAGTAAAATGCTGCTCTACTGTCTGGTTCACAGCATTTTAGTCTGAAAATGTGGCAGCCCTACAGAATCAATGACACACTAGGCACAGTGGGACATAAAGGCAGACCTGAATGAGAACACATGCATAAGTTTACGGATTTTATTCCTTCTTCGTCATAGCATATGACTTTTATATAATGCGAGCTAACACAAGACCAGCTTTAGTTTCTGTATTACAATAAATAGAACTTGCAAAGTATCATATCCTGTGGAAAAAGGCTTATCTAATAATGTATGTCTTTGTGGTGTTTGGGGAAGGTTTATTCATAGACATACAATAATGTTCAAGTCCACAAACCAAGGCCTTTAAAGACTAGGAAATGCTAAGATATCAATATAGTATTGAAAGCTGTTAAGATAATAACAACTGTATGTCATGAGCTTCTAATGCTGCTGAGCAGACTGGCTAAATGTGTCTCTTCAAGGCCTGTGACTTCCTCAAATTACTTCTGAAACTAGATGAGAGGGTGATAGAAAAAAGTATTAGCAGTTCTCAGTGGCAGCTTCTTGCTGCATGGTGCACATTGTAGACTTCACAAAATCCAGAACCAAAACAATCAAGTCCATATCAGTGGCTGCATCAGGATGTCTTCAGTTATTTAATTTAAGGTAAATGTAACCTCCAAAGTGAGATATGCCAAAAAGGAGCAAGAACATGAACATGGGGGGAAAAATCATGCTGTTTATTTATACTGATATAGACTGTGTGATGTGTTAGGAACAACAGGATGCCACATCATTTGATGGAAATGAAAATTATCAACCTACAGAGGGCTGAATTCAAAGACACCCCAAAAATTATAGTGAAAAAAATGATGCGGCAGGCTAGTCCATTTTGCTGAAATTTCATTGCAGCAACTCAAATTGGTATTTAGTAATTTGTATGGCCCCCACGTGCGTGTATGCATGCCTGACAACATCGGGCATGCTCCTAATGAGACGACGGATGGCGTCCTGGGGTATCTCCTCCCAGATCTGGACCAGGGCATCACTGAGCTCCTGGACAGTCTGAGGTGCAACCTGGCGGTGTCGGATGGATCGAGACATAATGTCCCAGAGGTGTTCTATTGGATTTAGGTCAGGCGAGCCTGGGGGCCTATCGATGGTATCAATTCCTTCATTCTCCAGGAACTGCCTGGCAGCATACTCTTGCCACATGAGGCTGGACATTTTCATGCACCATGAGGAACCCAGGACCTACTGCACCAGCATAGGGTCTGACAATGGCTGCAAGGATTTCATCCCCATACCTAATGGCAGTCAGGGTGCCATTTTCTAGCCTGTATAGGTCTGTGCGTCCCTTCATGGATATGCCTCCTCAGACCATCACTGACCAAACACCAAACCGGTCATGCTGAACGATGTTACAGGCAGCATAACGTTCTTCACGGCTTCTCCAGACCCTTTCAAGTCTGAAGTCTCACAAGTTTCAAGTCTCACATGTGCTCAGGGTGAACCTGCTCTCATCTGTGAAAAGCACAGGGCGCCAGTGGCGGACTTGCCAATTTCCTTGTTCTGTGGCAAATGCCAATTGAGCTCCACGGTGCCGGGCAGTGAGCACACTAGGGCCCACTAGAGGACATCGGGCCCTCAGGCCACCCTCATGAAGTCTGTTTCTGATTGTTTGGTCAGAAACATTCACACAAGTGGCCTGCTGGAGGTCATTTTGTAGGGCTCTGGCAGTGCTCCTCCATAAACTATGGAATCTTCCTTTATTTTGCAGTGAAATGTTGCATCATGTATTAAACCAATATGGGACACAATTTATCGGTAATTATTTTACAAATCACAGATACTCATGTTTGTCCAACATGCATCACCTCTACGGTAAATCAAACAAAAATCAAAGAAATAAAAGGCAGGAAATACTAAGACCAGCAAAGCTTATTATTTTCTGCCATCAAGGTTGCCTAGAGACAGACACCACTCACCAACTCTGCTATGTCACCCAGTTTAACCCCTGCTACTCCACCAATTCCTTACAAGGAAGCTCATACAAAAATATAGACTTCAGTGGGAAGCATTAAATCCATAGCTGAGGATTTTTAACCATCAAGTGTTTGGTAGGTTTTCACAGTCAATCACATCAACTTGAACATAAAATCAAGCCTGTAATACCAATAGGAGCCCTTGTTTTTCTGCATGTGCATGCAAATGAAATAATGGATGCACATTTCTGTTTCTGGGCTAAAACAAATCACAAAATGAGCATAACAGTGAAGAAAAAGTTCATCCTTTGTTTCTTTGTGAAAATGCAGAAAGATGGAAGAAGGAAGCTGCTGATAAGAGGTGTTCATGGTGAGACTTACCTGAACTAATTGAGTGGAACCCAGTTATGCTGCCAAACAACATTTGTTGGCTCACAAACAACCAGCACAAAACAGCAAAAGCTAAATATCAGCCACAAAGTAAAACAGTCTCTTTTCTATAATCACACCTTTACCATTTCATTCAGCATAACACAGATTTCAGCAGCTTTTCCACACAGCGGTGGCTTAAAAAAAACCCAAGAGAAAAACAGAGTAAACCAGCTCAACTTACCACCGGGCCTGGCTCTCCTCGATCCCCTCTGGCCCCTCTGATCCCAGGGCCCCCCTGTTAGAAACCAAACAAATAATATTCAGATATGCAGCATCAATAAATGTGATGATAGTAAGCGGGTTTGTGTGTCTGAATGGACAAAAAGGACAAAAAAAAAAAAAAGGGTTTAAAATGATGAAACCAAAGCAACTTACACTGCAGAATAAAGATTATTTGCTAAAAGTACAACTATGTAATATGATATTTGTTTATTAGGTGGACTTTGATAATCAAATTTCATTAAAAAGGCCTAATTTATTTAGTACTGTATTAACATGCTGTGTTTTCTTCATTGGACCAATAATAGTACCTCTATATGCAGTTTATTTAATAACAAAGCAACATGATTGCCTTTTAGGGCTGCTCAGTGGCACGCAGTGGGTAGCACTGCTGCCTTGCACCAAGAAGGTTGCGGTTCGATTCCCTGCATTGGGTCTTTCTGCATGGAGTTTGCATGTTCCCCCTGAGCCTGTATGGGTTCTCTCCAGGTACTCCGGCTTCCTCCCACAGTCCAAAAACATGACTATTAGGTTAATTGGCTTCTCTAAATTGTCCTTAAGTGTGAGTGTGTGTGTGAATGGTTGGTTGTCCTGTCTGTCTCTGTGTTGCCCTGCGATGGACTGGCAACCTGTCCAGGATGTACCCCGCCTGTCACCCATGGACAGCTGGAGATAGGCACCAGCACCCCTCACGACCCCACTTGGGATAAAGCATGTCAGAAAATGGATGGATGGATAATGCCTTTTAAATAACCAGGATAAATATAATATGATGCTCACTGGTACTCCGGGAGGACCAGGTAGACCTTTGCTGTCTTGTGTGCAGGTGCAGGCTTTGGGCAAGGCCGGGCAGTCTGCTTCCTTCCTCTGGATGATCATGGTGGGATGGAAATGAAAAAGAAAAAGAGAAACATATTGGTATGATAGAATGGTTTAAAATATGAGCAAACAAACTGAAGGTTTGAAACTTGTTGCATTTCTAGTAAACTGATGAAAGATGCAATGCAAAGTGAAAATCTTAAAGATCGCCTATCAGAGCTTTCTGCAACTGCCTCTGTTTAATCATTTACCAACAAATTAAAACTACATTTTTTTTTAAAGTTACATTTACATTAGACTTCTTAGCAGAAGACAACTTAAATAATTCAGAAAAATCCTTTTAATAATACATAACTAATAGATATCAAAAACGGCAACCAAAAAAACAGATAGTGTGGACTTGTAGCATATTTGATTCTGAAAGTAACTTTAGGAATCCCTCTGGATAAATGTATAACATTTAAAGCATTTTTCCAGATCTCTAACTTTGGTTTCTATGGGTTTTTTTTTTTTTCCTTAAAGA